TTGGCCGCTTGTGGCAATTACCGCAGTCAAACGAGCGAAAAAGGACAGCACAGGACTGGCAGGACCTAAAACTCTTAAATTCTAGGGTCCTTCCCCCCTCCCAAAAAATGCAATTACAAAATATTTACGCATGCATTTACATAATTATTTAATTGGGTTATCAAATATAAACCGATTTGTATTTATGTTCCATGCGTACTCGCTGCTTAATTGGTTTTTCACGAAGCCAAATGAGAATCGCAGTCACAGTCAAACAGAAATATCAATTACTATAAAATTATACTAAATATAATTTCAAATTATTTACACCGAAATCAAATCAAAGGCATTGATATGCTGTGAGTGGGGAAAAAAAAACCCGCTCAGAGTTTAATTTGCAAATTCAAAATTGCCAGCAAACTGGCAAATTATTATTGTGAAACGTGCAAAAAATTAAATTGAATATCTATTGAATGGAATATTTAATTAGTAATCTGCGGAAACCAAGTACTGAATGGATTTTAGGCACAAACCCAACGCCATATACATAACATTACATAGAAAGAGAGTTGTGTTAAATTATCAATTGGAGAAATAATCAAGTGGTTGGGTAACCTTAGATATGTTATAATATAATAATAAAATAATGGTTTTTAATACCAAGTTAGTCTTTATGACCATATAATTTATATTTTTTAACCTTATCATACAATGGAATGTTAAATAGTAAATAAAAATATTAAATTACCAAGCACAATCTGCGTTGGCCTTTAACTCATAATTTATTTACTTAGCTTAACTTGAATTATATTTTAATTCAGTTGGTTTTTGACTCGTGAATCTTATCTTTTATGGATTTTCTATTTATATAAATGCTTTTAAGTATTTACTTATATTTTATTTTTATACAATATTTTTTCTTCATTCTATATGCTTTAACTTATGGTAGACATAAACAAAACCAAGCATAAGGGACTTATTCTAATTAAAAAGCTTCTGTTTGTACTAGAAACTTTTTTAAATATAAAACTATTCCATTTGACACCTCTCAAAAAACCCCTAAAATCGATCCCTGCATATTTTTACCCAAATACCCAAACAGAAATCCGAATTCTACCGCCTTGGCATAAACATTCAATAAATTGCCGCACGCAACTCCAGTGCCTCACAATGGAAATGAAGACATTACGTATACGCCACTTTGTACCTGCCAACGCGGAACGTGCTCCGCCTTTGCCTCTGACTCTGGCTCAGACTTTTGGCTCTCCCAGAGCCAGGACGCAGGGGGAAATGTATTAGAAACGGAAACAGCTCAAGGGAAACACTTGAAGGAGCAAAATACGATTACGATTACCCCCCAAAAGCAGAGTCGAGGACCGAGGAAAGTCAAGCTGGTTGGTAAGAGCCGGGAGGGGGAAAACAATTTGTTGAGTGCGAGAGCAACAAGTAAGCGGCCGGGACGAAGGTCCTTCTCAGTACCATCACCACAAGGTGCCCAGCCAGGGGCCAACTATCGAAACTAGGCAACTGTAACTGCAAGGCAGAAATGGAGGGGCAACGGGACAGGAGCGCAGGATCACAGGAGCAGGAGCAGGAGCATTCCTTGCAGACGGCGCGCCGCATAAAAATTTATGATTATGTTAAAATGTAAAAGTGGCAGTCGGACGAGCAAAGGAGAGTGCAGAGTGCGCACAGAGGAAAAGCAGCAGGTGAACGAAATCGTGTTAATGTCCTTGTCAGTGATGGGCAAAATGCAGAGCAAGGGCTTCAAATAGTGCTTGGAGTAAGGGAATCCTGTCAAAAATTAAATACTATTTATCTTAGAAAGTTTTTTATGCTAAAGAGAATTAATTGCATTCAACTAAAAAGGAAATATTATATATAATCCTTTGTATTTCTTAATAATTAATCTTTCAATTTAATAAAGATATATGTAAAAAAAAACTCCTAAATCTTCTCTATTTTATAAATAGTTTCTTTAGTTTGCATAAAGACACTTTCTCCTCTCTAACTCTCTGGCTTTTTCTCTTGGCCAACTGGGTCGTTCTGTGGCACATAAAATATGATTTTTGTGCTTAAACAAAAATGCGACAAAACTGATGACGGCAACATCGCGGGTATTATGGCAAATAATGACACTACACTGCGATGACGATGGCGATGGCAACATCAACAAATGATAGCAGCTTGCTGCAATATAGCAATTTTTTAGCATTTTCTTCGCTGTTAGTTTCAGTTGCCATTCACGTGGCTGTCATCCTGGCTGGCAACGTTGGCAGGAGTCGCAGTTTCGTTTGACTTTCGAGTTGGCCGGATTTGTGTCAACTTTGGTTGTTTGTCATACAATGTAAGAGGGCACACATGTGACCCGTAAAAGTCACAAAAAACGTCTAGACAAGTGCCACTCTCCTAATTACGAATTATGCTTAATAAAAGTTTTCATTTTCATACAAGATTCCAGAGTGGAGAGGTAAGCTTATGTTTCATTCAGCAATAACCAAATCTAGCGCCTTTGTGTCATAAGTAACATTGAATATTTCACAGATTTGCGAGTCTTGGAAAATTACTTCCTGCCAATGGCAGCAAGCATCCGTATCCGTATCCGAATCCTCATCCTCAACCTCATCCTCATCCGAAACCAAATCCAACCTCACAATCCAAATCCACATCCGCTGTCGCATTTCTCATCCGTCTGCAAACTGCAGCCAGGATAAGGGAAAAGGCAGCATCAAATCGATTATGTTGCTATTACTTCCGCCAGTTGTCGCTGCCAGCTGCACTCGTTGCCCAACGCTTTCCCATGATTTTCCTTTGAGAAGAGACTTGCTTCTCATTCTGCTTGGATAAAGAAAGAAAAATTCTGGGAAATCGCTGTACTACAAATTTTTTAATGCGCTTTATAACCATTTATAGAAGTAAGAGTGCAATTTAAACACAAAGTTGATAGATTATTAACATAATAAATAGTTCTCCTTCTCCGACTCTGATTTGTCTTTTTAAGAATTCCTTTAGTTATCAATTTTGACCTTAAAGAAGCAACAGCTGCAGCTGGAACACATGTTGCCATAGCCCCCCGAAATGAGCTTACAATATTCAGTCATTCCTCTCCATGTCCAGTGCAAACTATTGTCGATTTCACAATGGGAGGAACACTCGTTCAGCCAAAAAGAACTATTAAAACAGCTCGAAGCGAGCAATGGGGAGGGAAGCTGGATGGGTTAAGGGCATGGGCAGGAGGAACGATTGCCTGCCAGGTGGTGCTCCCTTCCCTACCTTCTCTCTGTATCATCGTCATCTGTCGATGTGCATGGCTTAAGGGTGCACTTTCCACCCCATTTTACCAACCATTTCCATTTCGGATGGCAACCAGGTCAACGTGTGGAGGCATCATCGATGCCCGCTGGGCATTCAATTGTGAATTCAATTGGCAGTGGACACCCGAAATGCAGCAGTTCATGTTGTCCGCAAAATGGCTAATTAGCTGGGAAATGCGCTAAGCACTTGCACATAATTGCCCCATAATCCTGTCGCTATTTGTTGTTGTCATTGTTGTCCTTGTTGCAGGGATCAATGTTTAACGAACTCGACAAGATTGAGGACACTTTAGTAACTTGATTGATATCGAATTCAGTTTGGAAATCTCATTGAAAGAAATGGGAATTGGGAGCACTGGCAAAAATTAGAAATAATAAAAGTTGCTTTGGTTATATATTTTAGGGAAGTGTGAAATATGAAATAAATTTAAAAGTACATGAAGAATTAGTTCACATTTAAGATGATTTAAAAATATATTTAAACTTAAAGTAGATTCAATGTGTTTTATAAATTATAAACTTTCTAAAACAGCAGTTCTTTGCTTCTCATGCAAAAGGTTATTTAATTATTAGAAAATTAAGTTCCCAGCTCTTAAATAATATCATTTTCACATCGAATTTCGCTCGAACCAATGTCCTTTAAAACTTTGAACTCTGTTTGTCCCAAGACCAAATCGATCTTTGCCATTTCTCCGAGTGGCAGACGAGGCGTGTGGTAAATGAGGCGCGTTAATTAGAAACCATTTCCGGGAATTGGCTGCAGATGGAATGACGGAGGCTGTGGCCGGAGTCTCGTGCGTGCCATCTTACACTCAATTGATTTAATAGTCCCGGCATTGGGAGCAGCTCATTGTCCTGCCAGGCCAAAGGACCTTCCTGGTCAAACCCTCTCGCTCACATGGTGTCCCCGCTCGTTAAGCCATGCGATTGTCCTCGTTTTATGCGTGTCACATAATAAATCTTATTTGATTTGTTTACTTCCCATTACTCCTTGGACCGGTGGGGGGCTTGGGAGATTCTGGGCTCTGGTTAGGATCTGACCGGCATTGTCCTTCGTGGCTGTCATTAAACACGGGTCATTGTTTTTGCGGCAGCATCCAGCATCCGAGTAGGAGGTTCTCTCCACATCCTGCAGCCTGCTCTCTCGGCCTAATTCGATTGGCCTCCGTTTAAGTGCCGCATTTCGTTGGCTCCTGGGCTGGGCAAATTTAATTAATAATCAAATTACGCATACGCCACGTGACACGCTGCTCTTAATTTAAATGCGTTGCTCCACAGATACTCGCATTTAATAAATATCTGGCATATCAAAGTTATTTGATTCAATTAAATCCGGCTGAGAGTCTAATTAGGCATGATTATGGAGGGTTCTGAGAGGTTATTCCGTATAAAGGCATTCTTAATTCATGTTCTCTTATTGACAAACACGTCTCAATTCTTAATTATGTTCGAAAACTGAAGTCAGCTTTATTTATTAAGAGTAAAAACTTAAAAGTTTCTGATTTTTTTAGGTAGACTTTAATTTTAAAAGATTTCAAAACAAACAATGTTTTCTGAGTTCGGTGGGTAAAAATATATCAATCATCTTGAGGACTTGAGGAGTATATGGGTTATAAAACACGAAGAACTTGAAAAATAAATTTTGTTTCTTTCACAAACACAACCTGTGTAAATATCATATAAATTGATTCCCTGAGCAAAAATCTATCATCCTTTCGGGCAGCTACAGTTTTTCGGAGAAGGAGTCACTTTACATGGGGTATGAGACTTCATCTTGGCTTCCAAGGCAGCGGAAATAGCTCGACAGGTGGCATTCTTAATACTATCGAATTCTGCACTGACCTCGGCAAACTCTTTGCTCAGACATTCGCCTTTCTCCTTGGTCTTTGCCATCATTTTCTGCTGCTCCTCCAGAGTTACTTGAGTCTGATCCGCGAGACTGTCGAGTTCTTCAAGGCCGCTTTTTATTTGATCCATCGCAATTTGAATGGCAACTGAATGATTATCAACCATCTTGAGGGCGGCACAAGTGGCCTTGACATTCGCCTGGCTGGTCTTGAGGGAGTCATTAAGTTGGGCCACCAAAATCTCGACATCTTCGATTTCCTTTGCATATCTATACACGATCGCCTGCTTGGCCTCCATCAAGGAATTGGCAGTACTCGCGGCGGCCATTGCTCTCTCTGCCATCAGCAATTGCACCTCATAGGAGGCATTTTGGGCAGCGGTTGCTAAGGCTTCATTAATGGACTTGGCCTCCTCGGCCGCATCATTGGCTATTTTTGTGGCCTTACTTTGAGTATTGTTGCCCATCGTTGTGGAATTGCATGAGTCTTCGTTTTCGGATGCTGCATGACAGCTACTATTAACCTGGGACACATTCTTCAAGTCTTGTTTCGTGTTCGGTTCCATTCTGTAGAATTGAATATGGAGTATCGCCAGCATTATGGAAATCGTCAGGAGCTTCATGTTGGAGTCATCAATAGATTAGCACAGGTTGTAAAATTGAAGTAGAAAGCACAGAATGCTTATACTATTACATTTGAAGCTTAAATAATAAGAGAAATATATAAATATAATCCTACATTGAACCGTTTGGAAGAAATGTCCCTTGAAAACGAGTAATTCAAGCTAATTACAAGACCTAACTCCCTGACAGAAATTAACAGGCCTGCAATTGAAATTCCAGTGCTATATATAACTTAAGTAAGTTATCATCTTCATCACCCTAACATCTGCCTAATCGATGTGGCGAATAAATAAACAGGCGGCGTATTGCTCCGGCAGATACATTTTAATTCGAAACAGTAAATTGCTTGCATATTTGAGGAAATTAGCTTGGACCACGCCCACACGTCGTCTGGAGAAAACAATAACCATAAATGTTAACAAGGAGCCCAAGTCCCAAGTCCCAGGACTTAATGATGCCCAACCAAAAGGGGAGCCACTCGAGCCGAAAGTTTTGTGGGCCAGGACATTTAGCATGAGCCGGTGACAGGTGCTAAGGTGTCGTCGTCTACCAAATTCGAATGCCGTTTCTATCGAGCCCATCTTCCACTCCCTGGAATTAATTAGAAAGCTGCGGTCGAGCCAGGACCTTCCTCCACTTGTCCTCGGAGCATTTGTCAGCAAATTTAATTTGCGGTTACCTTGGCAGCCGAAAGGACACTCTGCCATTTAAATTTGCAGCCTAAAATCTCGGTAAATTCCTTGATTAAATCGCTCCTTGTCCGGGGATGAAGAGTCCTGTGATTGATTAACGAGTATGTGAGTGTGTGCTTGTGTGTGGCGAATCGAAAGTGTGCAGGGCAAAGACGAGTGTATCCCTTTTTGATCAAAAGTCAAGCTTTATACGTCGTCTCATTGCCAGGCGAATGACTGATTGTCCTTGGCCCTTCGAAGCACTCACTGCCATCGCCTCGGAGCGTATATCCTGCCATCGTATATATCCATAACTGAGCAGCCAACCGGGCGACACGTTTGCCCATGAAAAATCGTCCCGGAATCTTATTATAAAACATGTGCTTAAGTAATAGCATCCGAAGTGAAGTGTTTGACTGAGCTCCGTGTCGTGTAACAGATTGCCGATCCACTCCCGGGCACAAACGGGGTTAAGATTAATTTGTTTGCACTTTGCAAGGGGATGTCCTGACGCCAAGTTGATGGAAATCAAAATTGAAACGAGAGGGAGTCCATGGGGACCGACTCTGTATCCTACGAGGCTGCCAAGGTGTATCGAAATCGTATGGGTTGTTTATTGATTTAGGTTTGGTTTAAGTGAAATGGATTACCAGGCTAAAAAATAAAACTTAAAAACTTAGAGAAACCAAGTTTAACAGGAAAGGAAGCTAATTTCGAGAAGACAAAATGAGAAAACCATTGAAATTACCCAAAGGAATATGGGTTCGAACTTGAAATCCATCATAACTAAAGTAAAAATGTATTAATCTCAATTTGGAAGCGTTCTTTGAATTATACATTCATTATAAACAAGAATTTTCGTTTGTCCCCAACATATATTCTGTTTTACAAATGTATCGTTTCTTTTATGAAGTGTTTGTTGTTTACTAAATCATGTTTTAGACTTACCGCAGTAGAAGACACACGGTTATCCTTGTTCGTCAGTTGATTAATTCCTTCCAGGGTATAGCTATATTTTTGTTGATTTCATATAGGTTTTCATCGAAGGGAGCTTCTTCCTGGTTATCCGGATGTAATGCCTTGGTCAAATGACATATTTGAAGTAGACGGGCACTACCTTTATCACTACTACTATCACTATCGATATTACTATCACTTTCACTACCACGATCACTATAGATGTTTACACTACGAAGGCCACGTACAGACTGAGGGCAGCGGCGCTAGCGCGCCTCTATTTATAGTCCCCGAGTGAAGAGAACAGAGAAAGTGTGAGCGAGAGAGTAAGAGATACCTCAAGAGCTAGGCAGAGAGAGAGAGAGAAAGAGGCATCTCTAGAGATACATAGAGAGGGATAGACATACCAAAATAGAGAAAGAGAGAGAGAGAGAGAGAGGGTGTGTGTGTGTGACAGAGAGATAGAGTTAAAGAGTTAGAGAGCAAAATTATAATACGTTAATTTGTATATATTATTTGGCACTTTGAATTTTAATTTAATATTAATTCTTATAACAACTCCTAATTAAAAGCACCTTCTTTTCTCTTGTCAACAATTATCCTCATCGATTATATCATTTTCGATATGCTATTCTTATTGTTATCCCTTGAGGCATCTGCTTGTTGTGCGTGTGCTATACACACACTCACACTAACACTCACATATAGTGACTATCAAAAGTATGCGCATAACTCAGACGCTGCCATTTGCATGCTTCAAGTGTTTACAAATAGGATTCGGACTTGGATTTTTCCGCATTGCATAAATTCCCTTCTTTGCGCCAGTTTGACGGGGGTGGAGAGAAAACTTTTTTGCAACATTTTATCAGATTATGGAGCACACAAAATGCAACTTCCCGTGCTTGGGATTGTACTTACAAGTGTGTGTATGTGTGTAAGTATTCTATATAAGAATAAAGAAAAATACAACTCGAATGTGTTCTTACCTTGCCACATATTTTGCCAAGTAAGCGGAAACATTAAAATTGTATTTGTGAGCAGGAATCGCGGGAAAAGTTGAAGTTTTGAAGAGGATACTGAAAGAAAAATAAAAGGCAAAAAAAAACATTAGTAAAAATGAAATAAAATCAATAACAATGTCAATAATAATTGATATATAAGTTAAATATTTTTTATATAAGTAAAAAGTAGACTACAATTTACAGCTTTGTATTTTTAATAAAGCTTTATTGTTCTCTTAGATTAAATAAACGAAGAAATTGTAATTTCCCTTCGAAGGCAAAAATCTCTAATATATAAATATAATAGAATTATCAGCTTTAAAGAAATATATATGAAAAAGTAGAAAAATTGTAGTTTTTCCTGCAAAAGCTAACAAAAAGATTAGGTTGCGAGCCAAACAATCTGCACGCGAAAATCGTATCAGTAATTTGTAAAGAAAAAACTAAAAAATATATATAGAACATGCAATGAAAAGCTGAATATTTAGGGATATATCCATCGATGACCCCCTCTCGATTCCCGATTGCCCACTTATCCTTATCAATCTCTATCAAATGGCGCTCTGGAAAGGAGCTTTCGGGATCCACGTTGAAGATGGGCAACAAAAAAACAAGCCATGACAAATGGCCAACAGGATGCATATTTATGATTGCACACACACAACACACTACACTGCACTACACTACACTACACTACACAGTCGCTTCAGTTGACCGCACTCAAGGACAGGCCCGAGTCCTGTGGTAGGCACTTTCCTGCTGCTGCTTCTCTGGTTAAAATGCCAACACAAACTTTATACGCACGTAGTCAATTACTCATCCCCCACCAAAGTTGGCGAAGGACTGCGCCACCCACCGCCCAATGCATATGCAAGGGGGCGTGCACATACTTTTGTGTACCAACGTGTTTTGTCATTTTCCATTTTGGCAGCTCGCAAAAGTAAACAGTTTCGAGTACATAAATTAAACCCATTGAAATTGATGTGGTCTCGTCATGCTATTTAAATTGAAGATATGCAGAGTCTACCATATTTTAGAGGATTTTTTAAAGATGATTTTAAGTAGAATCTATCTCAATCCAATTACATTAATCATTCATATATTTTCCCCCCTTAAAATCGATTTAAATGCAATTTTAACGAGTGTGCTTGGGCCTGTGTCGTTCTCATACTAAATTCAAATTCGGCTTACATGTATTCCCCACAGGACAAAACAGAGAACAACTCAATAAATATTGGCCAGAACCTAAAATTGAAAGTATTGCCTAAGCCCATAAACCAAACAGAACTCTTAACATCCTGCCGCCCTGTCTGTCCTTTCGAACCGAGTGTAGTATGTTCGCTCTTTGTCTTAATTTCTTAAAAGGCCGAGACAATTACAATTGGAATTTATTTGGCATTGTGGTAGGTTCCTAGGCAGGACGAGAACGAGGACGAGGTGGGACGCTGCAGGACAGAGAGATGTCATGAGTTACTGTTAATTAGAAAATTGTTATTCAATGGATCGGAGGCGTCTGGCCTTGGGGCTTTAAAGTGTGAATGCATGTCGGGGTTAGATTAGACCAATTTAAGACATAACTGTCAGGTTACGGTCTGGATTTATATTTATTATTCATTTAAAGGTTTTGCCAAAAATAAATGCTTATATTTTATTACAATTAAATTTCCGTAGGAAATAAATTTAAACTTGGTGAAAGAATGAGTGTATATTTTGTTCACCGGCAGAGTAATATACTTTTAGTCAGAAGCTTAAAACTCAGTGAAGTTGTCATTTCCGACCCTATAAATCATATATATTCTTTATCAGCATGAACAGCCGAGTCGATCTAGACATCTCCGGTGGAAAAATACATTTTAACAATTTTTTCGATTTTTGCTGATAAAAATAGCGGGATTTCAATTTTAAAAAATCGACAAAAATTTTAATTTTCTAAAACTTAAAACTGAGTATGCAGATTTATTAACCTATTAAAAACTAACATAGACCAGCTGTCTGAATTGAAATTAATGCATTTTTGGCTTAGTGATGAGTTGTTTTCAATTTGATTTTTAGGAAAAATTGGCATTAAACTATAAAAAATACCTTCTCAAAGAATGGGATTATAATTTCAGTCATTTCCACTTACAAAAATTTTTATCTGAGTATGCAGATTTGTTAACGTAATAAAAACTAGCACGGGACAGCTATCCAAATTAAAATAAACGCTTTTTTAGCTTTGTTATGAATTTTTTAAAATTTGATTTTTAGGAAAAATTGACGTAAAAATAGATAAAATATGGTATTATAATTTTAGTCAGCAGCTTATAAAGCAGTGAAGGAGTCATTTCTGACCCTATAAATCATATATATTCTTGATCAGCATGAACAGCTGAGTCAATCTAGGCATATACGATGGAAAAATAAATTTTGAAAATTTTTTCGATTGTTTTATGTCAAAAAAACGATAAGAATTGGTTTTCAAAATTTGAGAAAAATTTAAATTTTCTAAAAAATTAAACTGAATATGGAGATTTATTAAGCTATTAAAAACTAACATAAGACAGCTTTCCGAATTGAAATTAATGTATTTTTGGCTAAGTTATGAGATTATTAAATTTGGTGTATAGAAAAAATTGTCTTATAAAAATATTGCTAAATTTCGACTCAGGAAGTCGTATTATAATTTTAGTCAGAAGCTTATAAACCAGAGAAGGAGTCATTTGTGACCCCATAAATCATATATATTCTTGATCAGCATTAACAGCCGAGTCGATCTAGCCATCTTCCACAGAAAAAATATGTTTTTAATTTTTTCAACATTTTTTAAGTAGCTACTTTGACAAAACTGACGACAACTAAAATGTCAAAATTTGTAATTTTTAAAAATATTAAATAGAGTATGCAGATTTATGAACCTATTAAAAACTAACATAGAACAGCTTTCCGAATTGCAATTAATGCATTTTTAGCCTAGTTATAAGATTTTAAAATTTGATATCTAGCAAAAACAAAAATATTGATACATTTTAATTCCGAGTTGATTCATAATTAAATTTCAAACTGCAAAGGTATATAGACTTAAAAAAGTTAATTTATAAAATATGTAGAATTAATACCCGTAAAATGTATAACATAAATAGTTTATAGCTCTTCCATATATTAATCTTTCTATGAATTAGTTATAAAAGTTGTAAATAAACCCACTGAAATAATATAAAATTTTTAATTCTAGTAAGAAATAATATGGCTAGTCAAGTGTCTTTGAATTCAAGATACGTGACACCTCAAAACGGTGTCTGATAAATTAAACCAAGATCCCTCCTTTTGACTGATGAATATATTCTTATTTGAATCTAAAAAAAAATCTTTTGGTATAATCAACTTATTGTAGAATAAACAAAAATTTTGAAAAAATAGCAGCTTTTAGCTGTTTTAGCCAATTTCGCCACAACACTTTAGGCCATTTGTGGCCAAAGTTTGTGTAAAAAAGGAAAAACCAATGTAAAAGTTTTTCCTTGCCCTCCCAAACGTGCCTGTAAAATGTGTGTATAAATCACCAGATGACGCTTTCACTGGAAAAACATCCCAAAGTGAAAGCATAAACAGAGCTCTTCACACGGCTTAATACAATACATAAAGCAACAATTCTTTATTTCTTGATAGAAAAATAAAATCATTAATACATAATCATTATACATATTTATATATACGTTCCTGACAATAAAGCCTTGTGGATCAAAGGCCCGACTTTTTTTTGGGCCACACTAAGGCCCAGCAAGGTGATGCTTTCTTCACAAATTAATTCACTATCGCTAATAGCTTGATAGGCTTAAATGGTAGAAGCGAGGTGCTCGACTTTCCCACGATTAAAGGGGATTCCCTTAGCTTAGCTCTGAAGGTAACCAAAAAAAAACCTGATCGATCGCCTCTTAATACATTTTGCAGTATACTCAATGTGTTTTCGCAGACCAAGATCAAGAAGACATTTTGGAGCTTACAATTACAATAACAACTACGTAGAGGTAAATGCTAAATAATTAATAATAATTGTATCATTTAAGCAATGTGCTGTACTGTGTTTTGTTCCTTGTTCTCCCCTCCAATGGATATACCCAAGGGAATTTAGTCAAATCAGAAAAGCCCAGTGTGCAACGAGACCCATCTAGCAATTTGTAGGACTGACTGTGTTTTTTTTAGTATTTGTTTTGGTCTAACAATCTGGAAGGCTGCGAGAAGTCGTAGCATCCTAGATTTACGCTTGCTTATCTCCTAAAGTGTGAAGTTGTGAATCCTTTTAGTATATAATAGGGTTAGGATCGCGTGGTTTGTTGGAATACTTTAGGCCCAAATCGTCGGCAATCTCATCTATCGCCTCCAGAGCATAATCAAGCTGCTCCTTGGTGTGAGCAGCCGACAGGCAAAAGCGGATGCGACCCTCCATAATGGGTGTGGCCGGGAATCCAGCGCCCACCACTGCAATGTGGCGGGTGGTCAAGGTGCGAACAACAGCGCTGCAAGAGATATAAAGAAGATTAATTAATAACAATACCAATAATATAACATATTGTACAATAGATTTTGTATATTTCATGATTATAAATGCCAATTAATAATCAATTTGAATGAAACACTCTCCACTAAGAGCCTGTAGTTGAAACATCATCACTTCTCGGCATTCCACTGCCACTGGGTCCTTGCTCATCATCATCATCGCTTATTCCTTTTTCAGAGAAGGCATCAACAAACTCATCCACCACTGGCTTGCCCATACCTTTGGCCTGTATGAGACACCTTTGATTATCGCTATCGGTTAGCACTTTGAATGGCATATCTTTGCCCACAACAGCCGCATTGATCGTTAAATCTTGCAGGTCTTCATTGCCCAGCGAGCCACGAATGGCCTGAATTCCATGACAAACCAGTTCATCCATATCACAGTTTTCAAAACTCTCCATATTTCGCTCCAAATAGGTACGAGCACTCTGTGATCGTGACCCAATGGCCATTGATTTGCAGTTGAGGACCGTGGCCGATGGCATCACCTGGTAGATATGGGCGCCATTTACATCGTAACCTGCCACCAGCATTCCCACTCCGTATGGGCGACGATTGTAGCTCTGGGTGGTGGCCTGCATCTTGTTACCCAAAGATTCCACAAAACGTTTTATTGGGTACTCTGTGTCGTATGAGTGACGATAGGCCATGCACTCGGTGCGCAGATAATGGCACAACTGACGGGCATCGGCTGTCAGACCCGATATAGATATACCCATGTGAGCATCCACAGACATGATCTTCCTTTGCAGCGAATCTACATCCGAGGAGGCACGGCACAAAGCCACAAGTACAGCATAGTCTTTGCTCTTCAGACCCACGGTAACCGTTCCCTGCTTCACCGCCTCCATGGCATACTCCACCTGGAAGAGCCTGCCCTGTGGACTCCACACTGTGGTATCATTGTCGTACTGATTTCGAAACATATTTTATAGTGTGTGGTGCTTCTTTAAAGTAATGTTTTGTGACAACTAAATCTAAATTGTCAAGCTTACCCAATTTTGGAGAATAGGTACACCAGCATTGGCACCACTGGGGAATCCTCGTGGCCATAAGTGATCACTCCCAGTTGAGCCAGACGACGACGGAAGTAGCGGGTATTCCTGGCCAGCTGCATAATCTTCCTGCGTCCAATTTCTGTGCCATCTTCACCCATTATGGTCTTCATGGAGGTCATAATCTGCTGGGCAATGGGAGGCGAAATGGAGCTAGCATAGCAATGGGCATGACTATTAGTGCGAAGGAAGTCAATCAGTTTCTGTGGAGGATTCAAAATCATTAATTCAAGATACAATTAGGGTAAGTAAACCAAAAAAGTATACCTTTGATCCTGCCAGATAGCCGCCAGCACTGCCAAAGCTCTTTGTAAAGGTGCCCATCAGAATATCCACATCCTTGGGATCCACATTAAAGTAGTCCGTAACTCCTTTGCCATGCGAACCCATTGCTCCAATGCTGTGAGCTTCATCCAGATACAAGTAAGCCTTGTACTTCTTTTTCAATGCAATAATTTCCGGTAAACGGACAATGGAACCCTCCATGCTAAAAATACCCTCCACAAGGATCATGATCTTTTTGTACGGCTGGCCTCCCTTCTTGGGGTTGCCATAACAAACTCCCTGACGAAGAACTCGCTCCAAATCTCTCATATTATTGTGCTTGAATACTTTGGTGGTGGCTCCGGACAGACGCAGTCCCAGGATAATGGAGGCATGATTCTTCTCGTCACTAATTACTAGGCAATTGGGACCCAGAAGCGAGGGAAGATTCAAGGCATTCGTGGCGAAACCCATGCCAAAAACGATGGCATCTTCCACACCAAGATATCTGGCTGTAAGACTCTCAAGTTCCTGGAGCTGCTCATTGTTTCCCAGCTCACAGCGGGAGCTGCAATAAGCTAATCCAAATTTCCTGGCTTTCTCCTCCGATTCATCTGCACATCGTCCAGTGGCAGCCGCAAATCCCAAATAGTTGTATGATCCCAGATTCAAGCAACGTGTCTCGGTTCCAGTGAACTTGAAGCTCCAGCCATAGTCATCACTCACGCGATCCTTGAGGGTGAGTTCATCCCCCGGGACACTGCAGATGGGACGATTCCAGCAATCCTTGATTCTCCTATAAACATATCTCGAGTAGAAGCTCTCAAAGGCATCGTACAAGGTGACATAGCCCTCTCGTCCCTTCTCCGTGGCCACTTTGGGCACAAAGAGCAGCTGGTTTATGTAGCCCAGGATCATCAGGAGGTAGAATCCCAGGTACGTTAGGCAGGCCGTATGCAGTGGTACTTCCTCAAAGGAGGTCTTTTGAGAGTGCTCCACTTCCGGAGACAATATACCCTCCACCTTATTGGGCTGCGTTTCCTCATGATCCCGCAGAACTTTGGCATGTCCATTGGGGATCAATCTCTTCTCCGGATGGTAATTGGGTGAACGATTCTATGCGAAAGAGGGGAGACACCAACGATCACCGATTATAGCTTATTGATTACATATTTTACTGTTGCCTATCGCCAGGAATCTACATAGCACCTAATTGAAAAATCACTTATCAGAGGAAGCATTATGACCAACAGGTGTGAACTATAATTAAATTACACTGGCCATACAGAGAGAAAAATGACGAAAGATCAACAAGAATTACTGAAGATAAGAATATTTTTAGGAAGGAGAACTGCACACACACCATTGAAAACTCGATCCTATATCCATCATCTTTCCACACTATATTTTCTATATGTTTCAGAGATCTGATTCTGCTGAGCTGTGATTCTTTACTCGATCACAGCACCAATTTCAGCGGTCAGCACATCTTAACTCGGTTGCCCTTTCAATGCGTTCCGTCAATTCACCAGCCAATTAACATTAAACTAAACGATCTATATGTGCGATGTGCATATATATAAATATATATATATAGAGGTAGTCACACGACATGTAGTCGCAGCAATAGCTCTGGCACTCACATGAGCCGAGTTCGACATGAAGTCACACATGAAGAGAGACTGACAGAAGCCATAAATGTGTAGCTCAACATGGCACACTTCCACCTCAACACATGAAAAGATATATATAATTAACTTATTTAAATGAACAATACCATATAATTAAGTTATTGATTTTAGCTCGACCAATGGATTCGATAGGGGAATAAACCTCTTTAATTGAGAGGGTGGCTCTTCACATTTACTGCTGATATATACAACGATTCGTGTATATAAGTATGCATATATGTATCTATATACAAGCTCCTACTTAATCGTATAACAATAACAGTCGGCGACAATAATATTTCGTGTTTATTATCATTTGCCGCCGGGCTTGTTTACAAATTCCACTCAAATGAGAGGTAATGGAGGATCATTTGGGGTTACACTCTACTAGGTTTTTAATGGGTAATAGGGTATAGGTTACTCTTTATAGACGAACATGTTAGCAAACTCCTAGAGTAAATAAATACAAAATATGTAGTACTAATTACCTCAAAGAAGGACAGGAAGGAAGTAAGGGGGTTGGGAACTAGATAAAGCCTTCCATATGTCATCGATATGAGTTAACCAAGATAAGAAATGAGGTGCAAGCCAAAGTTCTTAAATGGGAATGACTTGTACGGGGTTCCCATTATCTTATTACTTCTGACTCATTAGCTAATTTCTTTGAATCAGAGCAATATCTTCAACAACTTGTTTTAATTATTGTTTTAGAAGATACTTTTCCCCAATTTGGTTGTTAACCAAAGCTTGTTTCTATTATCTTGCTGGATAAAACACATTTAAATGAAATAAAAGCAATTTTGCATGCTGATAAAACAAAGCAATAAATCCCAGGGCGCCATATCTCAAGGGTACTCAGTTACCAACACGCGCAGACATTGTACTAACTCGCTGATAAAATTCATAAAACATGCGAAAATTAACTAGGGAATCGAAATAAAAGTGTGTGGTTATAGTTACTAGCAGTTTTTCATTAAGAGTATAAGCTAAACAAAATAATAACAATATTATTAATACATTTTCACAGAACTGAAACCTGATCTTATTACTCTTCTAGGAAAAATAACTCACTTAGTATTAATAAAATTGTTTGTTTAAGCATTACTTGGAAATGAAACCTATTTATAGTGTCAAACTTAAGTTTTATAGTTTATAATTCCTCAAAAATGATGAAAAATTATGAAATTTTACCAATGAAATATTCCTTTATTCAGTGATTAAGTTAAATCCCATTTTTTCCTATTTTTAAATTTTAATGGAATAAAAATCCCTCTAAAACCATATAATCTCTTTTAAGCTTTCCCACAAAATTTTCTTATGAACTCGCACACTCTCCCAAATATTAAAAAAAAAAAACGAAATCGAATCTTATCTCAAATCAACGCCCACCCAAAAAAAAGCGCTGCCTTCAGCGATTGTGGAAATATTGTGATTCATCAACCGGCGAGTCGCATTCTGCGAGGCTTTACGTAAAAAGATTGCCCGGAATGGGCCTGATAAGGCATTCCCATGGCATGGCATGACAATATTATTACCACGATTCCACTCTGAATCCGAGTATTGAAGAGCACTCTCCTCAAACAAGTTGCACCTATTCTATATGTACGTATTGGGGACACATAAACGTGGGCAAGTCATGACCAGAGGACAGGAGTGTCGATGGAGAGGTGACAATAGATCGATTACCAAGTGCATAAGGTGTAAAATAAAGGTGGAAAAGTGATTTTTAGGGTTTTACTACACTTTCCAAGGTGGGTTTTGTTTGTTGTCTAACTTTTTTAGTGGGAAATGTGACTACTAATGGTAGTAATAGCTTGGTTTATTAATATGAAACTGGCTAATTTAAACCTCAAAGAATTTGTAGTCATTTTTTATAGAGAGGCGCCATCTAGTCCTCAAATTTCGAGAGTTTTGTTATAATAAAAGTTCTAGAATTAGCTAAAAGGATATTCGATCTCTCTCTTTAGACCCTTTTTAGTAATAGCAGTTTAAGCTAATTTAGAAATTAAAATTAAATTTTTATAAATTACATTACAAATTATAAAATAAATATGTCGAATACCTAATAATAAACCTGATATAAGCCTGATTTAAGTGGCTAATTAGACCTTTACTGCCAAGTTTCAAATCAGAATAAAATTCACTAATAATGTTAAAAAACACATCGACTTTCAAAGTCAGCCATAATGACTCTAAATAGCTAAAAATGCCCAATTGGCCAGCACTTGTGGCGCGTAAAATGTTGCCAATAACAACAAACAACAAATTCTAGGCAAAGAAAAGGGAAAACGGGGTGGAAAACAGGGCGAGGAAAACACTGCAGTGAAACAGCTGAGGGCAGATGACCCAGAAAACCGGAAAATCGTAGAGAAAAGAGCGGTGAAATTAAGCCGAATTCGCCGAAAATGCCGAAGGGTGTGCAAGCAGGCAACAACAATTGCGGCGAATCTCTACAGCTGACGCACTCTCTCCCTCTCTATCTCGCTCTATTTATGTTCCCTTTAGAACACACACACAAACGCACACTTGGAAAAAATCAATGATTCGCCGGCTGCGAGAGCGAGAGAGGGAGAGGAATGGAACCACGTTCGCTTCACATTTTCAGACAATTTAAAATGCTTTTTTCTTGCTTATTTTGGCAGGTGCTTCTTTTTTAGTTTTTTTATCCGCACAAAATGAGCGAAAAGCTCTGCTCACCTTGGCCTCCGCGGCGGCGTTGGCGTTGCAGCGGCGCGTGCGAATTTCCGTGTAAGCGGGCGCCGAAAATTTTCGCTGACTGAGGAAGGGCTCCGCCTCCCCCGGGATTCCTCCGCGTGATTCAAGTTCACTCCTCCATTATTGGGGCTTCCGTTGGGAGTTCCATTTCCATTCGGCAGCTTTCCATTCGCTCCATTTGTGGTCGCATAACTCTCCTCGAAATCCGTTCCAGAATCGCCATCAAAATTGCCCATATTGATCGTGTGATCACCACAATATTCCAAAAACGCGCCCAAAAAGCAACTGAGAACAAGTTTGAGAGTAGCACTGCACTGGTAAATAAGCTTGAAAAGCTTTCGAAGATAGCAAGAAAATGCCAAAAAGTTGTGGCAAATTAAAGTGGCCAGGCCGCTGGCAATGTTGTCGGTCTAGCTTATTTCAGGCTAGATTTAGCATATTCGAAAACTAGCTTATAGCCTTAAAAGTAGTATTTTTAGTATTAATCCAGCATATTCCAGCAACAATTCCATAAGTCTCTTCTTTACGATTTTTTTAAGACGAAAACTGTCTCAAAATTTGATTAGGTTAGGTGTTCCATATAAAAAGATCAATTACACATTTTTGTTAAGCAAATTAAGTTCAATAATAATATTTGAACAATATTTAATATTGTTTATTTAAAATCCCAAGCAGATGAGAAACAACTTGTTAAATACGCATGGAAGATGCTGAAAGCTTTTTAAGATTAGTATACAGGTATTTATTTTTTCATTTTTAGCGTGTATTAGCTATTTTTCCCCATAATCTAGTTTTTTTCGTAATTGCATCAGAATAATATGCAGAAAGTAATCAGAGAATCTTCATTGAAGCAGTTTGAGAAAAATGGAAAGGAATGTTGAACCCAAAAAGAAACTGGTTAATTTCAATAAAAAGTTAAAGTACAAAATTATATTAGATCGCAATGTTTCTATTGTTATATGCATTAAAATAGTTATTTTGCTAATTATTTATTATTATTTTAGGAAGTATGTACGTTTTAGACTTTAGAAAAATGGTTCGTGTCAAGATATCAATTTTCACAGCCCGCTAGAGGGAGGCTGAGTAGTGTTGGCCGAAGTGGCGCCTTCTCTTGAAAAAGGTGTTAACTTTAATTAAAAATGGTGGGAAACTAGGATTTGAAAATGAATGTCCTCGAAAACTTCCAAAACCTGCCAATCCGGGCGCCTTTCTGGCAAACAGCTGCTGTTCGAAATTCGAAATTGATCCTGGACTTTCGAAATCTAAGAATTCGTTATTTTCAAATTATACCCATTTTTTTTATTCTTATTTTTTCTAAATTTAAGAGCAAATAATAAGTGATTTATAGGTTTCTATAGTATTTGTTCCCTTAATATAATCTATAGTTCACTAATATATTATAGCACCAGCAGTACTTCATAAATATTTTAGTTTAGTTCCTCAATAGTTCAACGCTTTATTTTCTCCTTGGACGACTCCTGTTGAATAATCCCTACAGCTAAAAAAATTTCCGTATTCTTCGGACATGAATAAATTTGCTTGAGATTCAGTTAAAAAACAAGAAGAAAAGCGAAGAATATCAGCAGCACTCGAGATATATTCAGATAAAAGTGCGTAAAGCGGCAGTTGTAGTAAAATTCATGAGGCTCAACGAAGTGCGTTGACTTTTTCGGACAACACAACAAGGAGACACGTCTCGGCCAGTGGATCTGAGATTTGGGATTCCGTGGCTATTATATCTTTCTATCAGAGTCTGTGTGTGTTTTTCTCACTCGTCTCTTATTGCGGAAGAATTTCAACTATTTTGTAAATTAATTGGTCTTGGGCGATGACACTATTCAAGGATTTTCAGGGCACATTTTGAAAACAAAACATTGAACTCGTTTGTCGTTGTCTTTGGACTTGTGATTCGTTTTCAATTTCGATTTCGATTTCGATTTCATTATGCGCCGCATCACAAAGACCAAGTTGAGGTAAACAACAAATGGGGAAAAAGAGTGGAAAACAACCATCGCAGCTTCTAATTGAGTTGGAAACTCTTCAGCGAATTGATGATGAATCTCTGTTCCTCTTTGGAAAATGCCAACACGTTCCCCGGCAAATTCAGCACTGATCACTGCAGCGATATGCAAATTATTGCCAAATTGTCGTCGCCAAAAGATCCCAGAAGTTGAAGTTCCCTTTGAATTCAAGTCTGAAGTGGGTGCTACTGTCAGGGCTAGGGCCCTTTGAGCCAAAAGCCCAGAAAGCGGGCCAAAACAGTCATCTGGAGATTAACAATCAACGACTCTGGCGGCACCCTAAAAAGGTACTCATCGAGAGCAGAGGAAAATTCCATACCCTTTCAAAGAAATATTGTATAATTTTTGGTTTAAAAATAATTTAAAGAAAGATAAAGAAAAAATTATTTGTATTAAAACCTAGTAAAGCTATTTTTAGCATATTATTTGGTTGTATAATGAGCCAAAATAAAGTATTTTATTCCTTGTAAAATTGTATAAAAAAAGTACCCTAAGATAATATTTTAAAGTCTGTGATAAATCATCTTTGTTATTCAAAAAACTTTTAAAAAATTCTTCATATAGTGATTTAAAAATCACTTTCATCTAACTTAAATATACCATGATAAATATATAATTTATCTTCTATAATATATCTTCTATAATAAATCTTTTATAATATATCTTCTATCTTTAATATATCTTCTGAAAACAATATATCTGCAATGTATCTAAAAAGTTAACCAATTTTCTGTTAAAGTATCTTTAAACCTATCTCCCAGATCTATAGGTGCAAATTTTTTGGTTATATTTTTGTATCTTTGAATGCCACAAATCGTGTTGCTTGTCTACTATTTTTGGCTGCTAACTCGGATTGCAGTTGTCAAAGTGTTGCTAATACACTGAACCAACAAAGAGTATATTTTACCAAATTTTAAGTACTTTAAAGAGTTATCAACTTAATAAAATTAATACTTTTATAGAAGGTTCTTTATTGTATATATAATATTATATTCTCTATAAGTTTCTCTGTTGTTTTCTGTGTATTTAATAGTGGTTCCCTTTGCTGTCAGCTTGTTTTGCTATTTTGCACTTTGACTGTTGAAGTTGATCGAGTGCGGAGTTCAAGTACACTCGCAGTTGAATCGTTTCTGGGTTCTGACAAATATTTGGCAATTGTGTAATCAAATTAATGGATAAGATCTGATCTTTAACAAGGGTTCTTTTAACTAGAAAAGAACTTAAAGAACTAGGAACTCAACTTTAAATATAGATAGAACATTATAAAGTATAGGAACTTAATAATTTGAATATGAAATGTTCATATTTATATATTTATATATTTATATTTTCTATTACATTTTTCCCTCATTATTTCTTCTGTATATTCATGCAACATCGCCTTTATATTTTCTTCCCAATTTCCCAGATAAAACCCCTTTATCCATAATACCCATGTTGCTCTTGCCCCATCAGCATCACATTTGTTTGTGACTCTTGTCCCGTTTTGCATAATTACGACTTGACTGGCTTAATAAATAAGCAAAAGTTCACAAATTTCCATTTGGGAGACGCAGGCGTTGCTCTAACAAGCATAAAAGCCGCATTTGCATATGCATTTTGTGCGTGAGTGGGCGGCTCTTTGCAGTTTGCAGTCATTCTTGTTGTTGTTGTTGTTGTTGTTGTTTGGAGCCGATGAATCACGCGTGATATTTCGCAGTTGCAGTTGCAGTTGCAAACTGGGTCTGTGAACTATTGTCTACTCTGGGATACCTTTTTGCCGCCGTATTATTCTCTTATTTATCAGCCCCGCCCACCCCCTCTTTAGGGGCACACCTCCTTCCTTGGAGTACAGTGGACTTTGCACTCCGCCAACGGTTTGACATTTTCATTATGGTAACTCTTTTTCTCTTATTTTTCATTTTTCCCTCGATGTGTGGACATGTTTTCTAGCTCTCACTCAATTGCCACCGGCGAAGCTATGAAACTATACACTGGGAATTATATTAATATTATTTTACTTTATTTTTCTTTTTATTATATTTTTATAGTTGGTTTTGTTGAAGAAATGGAATTATAAATCGATGATTAGTCTGGGAAAAATTTATAGTGATAAGTTTGAGAAATCTTAAAGGATTTTAAACTGTCACAAAAATATTTAATTTAATTTGAAGAGATTATTTTATAAACCAAATAATATAGTATTACATTTGAGAAATCTTAAAGGATTTGAAAAATTCAGAAAATATTATATTCAATTTGAATTTAAAGTCAAATATAGTTTATTTATTTATTAATAATTTGAGGAGTTAATAAATGTATTATTTATATAATTAACAGAACCCAATGATGATTTAATATTAAGTTATAGAGTTATATTAAGTTATAAAGTTATATTATTTACATTTATATGATACATTATTTTATATTATTAATTTACTTGCATTTCTTATGAACTTTCCCTTAAAAATATTCTGAATGTCAGAGTAGAAACACATTATTTTTATGTCTATGCATATTTATATTGCATATAATGTATATTTCTCTTTGTGTAATATCAAGTAGGCAACTAAAGGGCGTGGCCTGCCATTGCAGTCACTCAAGCGATTTTCAATGCGTTGACAGTTCAGGTTGTCAATCGTTTTGTGTTGTCTAGTGTAGGTGTTACAACTGTTGACTTGACTTGGTGCCATGTGATTAAGCTGTGAAGTGCAATTGAAGGCATTTCAATTGTTGATTGTCAAGAGCCCCAAAAGCATTACCATAACACCTCAGACAAAATGGTTCACGGGAATGCGTAGAACTGTCAAAAGGAGACTATTTGCATTGGTAAAACAAACAAGGGGTTGTGGTTTTATTTATGCAGTTAATGTTATATTAATTAAATTATTATTAATCAGGCATTATTTTGTAGACATTTGTGTATTGGTTATTTATATAATTTGTATAGAGGGATAAGCTTTTAGCAACTAATATTAAAGTCTTGATAAATTTTGTTTAATAAACTCCAATAAACTTCTCTTTCTTCTCTAGTTCTTACTTAAATATCCCGATATCTATTCTTATTTATTTTAAACAATATTTTCTTTATACCTTATATGCATTTCCCTGCTTACTGACTGCTTTTACTACACTTTAATCGCTAAAATGTAACTTACAAACTCCCCAAGACTATTTGCTGGCCACAAATCTCTGCAAAAAAGCAACAGCAGGCTGCCAACATTGACCAAAATAGCAAAGCAACAAAAAAGAGTCCAACAACCAAGTCTAACATCAAATTTCAATTATCGCAATGGCAAAAGGAAGCCGGGGAGTAACACCACCCCAA